GAGAGGATCTGAATCGCCAGTGGTCTAAACCAGACCCCGTCCTCAGTCAACCATCTACCACACCAAGGGCCTCCTATACTACCTCAACAGTATAGGACGAACTCCGCTGGTAGGATACGCATGGTCTTCCTTTTTATAAATGTGATGTACTGACAGTTTAAGCTGCTTGTAACACGTTGGAAGGCAAGGCAAGTTTATTTGTCTATCACATTTCAACAACAAGGCAATTCAAAGTACTTTATATAAAAGCAACCAAGGGCAATATAAAAGAAATTTAAATAAATTTTAAAAAACGGTTAAATGGAAAATAAAAACAAGATAAAACAGGACAGTAAAGTTACAGTGCATTGTCCGACATTATTTAAAAGAAGGAAGTAAAATAGAGATGAACAGACATGTTAAGGCAATCAATCTGCCTTAAAAACATGTCTGCAGTCCCACAAAAACACTGTCTAAAAGTCAGGCCCAGTCTTTTCTTTCTTTTCATCTAATTCTAATCTGAACCTATTCTGGCAATCTCAGTATTTCCTGATTGTTTACAAATCACAGAATGAATGAAATTCCAGCTGCGATACTGACTAATTAAAGTATGTTTTTTAAATGAATAGGAACCAAATTAAGAGCAAAACTATTGCCTGATTATTAAAATTTTTCACATAAAATACCTGCAGCCCATTTTCAGCTAAACAAAGCTGAATGGTGCATGAATGTGTGCTGTGTGAGCATGTAGCAGTGCACGTGTATGGTGTGAGCACCATTTGTGTGTGTTGCAGGTGTCTTGCTGAAACTGAAATGTAATGTAATGAGGGTTTAATGAGAAAGACCTTTAATACATTGCCCTTGATTGGCTTATTTAATTGTTCTAAATTAGAGTGGTGAGGTTGTTTTTCAGGCTAATTCATATAATTAACTGCCAACTGTTGCTGTCGACTGACATACAGTGAAAAGCATGTGCACTTTAAGAATGACTTGTTAACCTTTTCACAACCAGGAGATTTGCACTTGAAAAACATGATGCTCAAAATGGCACGGCTACAAACATAATGTCTACCAAAAATGATTCCACTGAATGATGACTGTTGTCTGTCAGTACGAAGAACAGTGACACTGTTAAAGAACTCCAAAACCTGGATGGATGGATCAACAAAGTGTGTGACTTTGATACAGGACACGAATGTATGCATTCATACCAACCGTCATCATTAGTTATTTTTATCATGACCAAGATCTTCTCCAAACTTTTCAGTCAAACCATCACCTTGTTAGCGAAATGACCAAAATAAATCCTCTTTGCTAACCTGCCACCTCCCTCCATCCACTAGTAACAGAGTGCAGAGACACATGACTGATGGATGAATGATTCTTTATCTGACTGAGGTTTGAGTTAGAGTCGCACACACAACTGAAATATCAGCAGCCTAACTGTAGTACGAATGGATAAATCCATGGCGCTGAAGAAGCAGATGGATTTATAAATCATTTCTTCTTCAATCCATAACAATCTTCAAACTATACAGTGGATAGAAAAAGTCTACACACCCTGTTAAAATGCCAGGTTCTTAGGACGTAAAATAATGAGACAAAGATAAATCATGTCAGAACTTTTTCCACCTTTAATGTGAATAATTCAATTGAAAAACTAATTTAAATCTTTGAGGGGGAAAAATTTTTATATAAAAACCCTCAAATAACCTGGTTGCATAAGTGTGCACACCCTTAGACTAATATTTTGTTGAAGCACCCTTTGATTTTATTACAGCAGTCAGTCTTTTTGGGTAGGAGTCTATTAGCATGGCACATCTTGACGTGGCAATATTTGCCCACTCTTCTTTGCAAAAGCGCTCCAAATCTGTCAGATTGCGAGGACGTCGCCTGTGCACAGCCCTCTTCAGATCACCTACAGATGTTCAGTTGGATTCAGGTCTGGGCTCTGGCTGGGCCATTCCAAAACATTAATCCTCTTTTGGTGAAGCCATGCTTTTGTGGATTTGGATGTGTGCTTTGGGTCGTTGTCGTGCTGAAAGGTGAACTTCATCTTCAGCTTTCTAACCGACACCTGAAGGTTTTGTGCCAAAATTGCCTGGTATTTGTAACTGTTCATAATTCCCTCCACCCTGACTAAGGCCCCGGTTCCAGCTGAAGAAAAACAGCCCCAAAGCACTTGGGGGGACTTGATGTTTGTTTTTGCAAACTTCAGCCATGCTTGGATGTTTTTCTTTGTAAATAAGACTTCCATCTTGCCACCCTACCCCATAGCCCATTCATATAAAGAATCAGGGAGATAGTTGTCACATGTACCACACAGCCAGTACTTGCCAGAAATTTCTGCAGTTCCTTTAATGTTGCTGTAGGCCTCTTGGAAGCCTCCCTGACCACTTTTCTTTTCGTCTTTTCATCAATTTTGGAGGGACGTCCAGTTCTTGGTAAAGTCACAGTTGTGCCATATTTTCTCCACTTGATGATGACTGTCTTCACTGTGTTCCATGGTATATCTAATGCTTTGGAAATGCTTTTGTACCCGTCTCCTGAAATATGTCTTTCAACCATGAGATCTCTCTGATGCTTTGAAAACTCTCTGCGGACCGTGGCTTTTGCTCGGAGATGCAACTAAGAAAATATCAGGAAAATCCTCCTAGAACAGCTGAACTTTATTTGTGATTAATCAAGAGTCACTTTAAATGATGGCAGGTGTGTAATGACTTCTAGTTAACCTGAGTTTGAATGTGATTGGTTAATTCTGAACACAGCCCCATCCCCAGTTATAAGAGAGTGTGCACACTTATGCAACCAGGTTATTGTAATGTTTTTATTTTTCATTTTTCTCCCTCGAAGATTTCAGTTTGTTTTTCTATTGAACTGTTCACATTATAAGTCACATTAAAGGTGGAAAAAGTTCTGACATGATATGTCTTTGTCTCATTATTTTACATCATAAGAACCTGGCATTTTAACAGGGGTGTGCAGACTTTTTCTATCCACTGTACTATAAATACTCAATTCTATATTATAAAGTAGAGCTAGCGACATGATCATAGCAACATGTAGTCATGGGGTGCTCCTATTGAACTATCCCCCCTGTTAAAAATTAACAAATCAACGACTGCTAATGATTCCTCACTGCACAGGAAATCTACAGTAAGTATCAGGTCAGTAGGTCAGTAGATGTGATTGGGGTCATACTCTCTCTGTTCACCTTCATTTTCTCTTCCAAATAAGTTCAACTAACTGAGAGGTGTATTTCCAACCTGTCTGATTGTCTGACTCCTCATGTCTCTCGACACGATGGATGGACCCATTTTCAGCAATGTCACAAAGTTATTCCAACATCTCATCAATTTCTATTTCAGTTACTGAGTACAGGGTTTTCATAACAAAGTTAGTTAAGTTGAGAAGAACAGCTTTGACAGGTTAGAGCTATTTATTTTAGCGACTTCTCTTTTCAGGCGAACACGTACAGTAAGCCCCCTTTAAAATTTAGTTTTTAGGGTAGCTGATCCTTCAACCTCTTGGGGACAGGCATATGCCCAAAATACCCAAAATGAATCGGAAATAACTCCTCAACCATTTGGCCTAGATGCATAATTCTGGTCTCCTTTGAAAGGTCAGGTATTTATTTTACCTTTACAGACTACATGGAGATGCAATTAAGAAAAATATGATTTTCATCCTCGCTATATTTTAATGCAATAAACCATCAAAACCACCATAAGGAAGCTTATAATGCAACTGAATATCTTCTAATACACCTAGAATGGAATTGTAACTGTAAATCTGATGAAAATAAACTAAAATACAACAGTTATCATAAAATATTTTCAAAAATATACCAGGTGAATGTCCATATTTTGGCAATATTTACTGTTTAAATGTTGGTTTTTATTGGGAGATATCTTTAAAACACTCTTTCTGTCCATACAACAAAGCTCCAAATAACAAAACATTGAAATATTGATAAAAACAGTGACTATTCATCAACACAACTGTCACCAAAAGCATACCTATGCTTTGCAGGCCTGTAGATTTAGAACGGAACATCCCACAGTGATGGCGGGGGGGTATCAATCGATCCGGCTTGAGCAGACCTTTCATTTGGTACTCATGTCTTGTATCTCCAAAGGGTCGGCCACAAAATGGCGAAAAAGACAGTGTGTTCCAAAGCGGCACGTTTCCTCTCTGCAGAAAAGACGACAGAAGGCGAGCAGCTCCCAGGTATTGCACAATAATGAAGATGGCGCAAAAGGACAAAGTCTTTGGAAGAATGAACTGAACTGAATCACTTCCTGAATCACTTCCTGAAACGATCCATTCTCCCGGTCAGTTGTGAGCGAAAGTGCAAGTATACACTCACTCGCTGAGTGAAGTCATTCGTTAGCAGGAGGAATGGAGTGTGTTGAAGATAGCAGATAGACATAAACATAAACTGAAAGGTCACTGACAATGACAGCTGATTCAGGATGCTAACATTTAGCTGCAATGATTCAACAGCATTGATCTTGGACTGAAATCCAGATATAAGACATTACCTACCATTTAACATACCATTAATATTACTTCACGCAATGTCGCACACGCAGTTTTGAAAAGAGCATTTATAGATTTGGATTTTGTATCCAGTACCTTCAGTGTTTGTTTATAGAGCTTATGGAGTGGTTGCATAGTTGTGTTACTTGCCTGAGAACTGAGTAGAGATGGGATAGTATCATAGAGTACACAAACTAAATTGCTACATCTGTACTCAATAGATTTTAAATACATTTAAGAACATGGCTACATCCCCCTCTCTCAGTAAACCACAAACGTCAGAGGACAGCTTCTCCAGTGCTTTCAACAACATCATCCAGCCCTACCCTCTAAGGCAAAAACTTGACAATGTTTCTGCACCCCAACATTGCATCCTGGATCGTCGACTACCAGACAAACGACAACGAGGACAGAGGACTGACAGAGAGCTTTGTCACATGCTCAATATCAGCATGACCAAACAGCTGGTGTTGGACTAGGAGACGAACAGGAGGCCCACTGTCCCAGTTTCCATCCAGGAAGAACTAGCTGGTAAGGGAGTCCAGCTCTGTGGTCGGGCCCAAAGTGAACAGCCTAGAACAACTAGAGTCAGAGGCGAAGAGGAAGATGAGGAACAAGATCTAAGCCATCCTGGGTAACCCCTCTCCATGAACAGCTGTGGCACATGGGCAGCTCATTGAGCCACCGGATCATCCCACCAGGTGCAAAGAGCACTTCAAGCTGTAATTTGTGCTCTCTGTCATCAGATTGGGATATCAGTGGAGCCCACAGACTGTCATTACATTAAGGCCCTCCCCTCCGTAAGATTTTATTACAGCTTGTCTTTTCCCCAGAGCATGTGTTTCAGTATCATTTCCCACCTCACTGAATAATTCCAGTCTTTACATCCTCTCAGATCATATCCTGGGGAGTATGTTTGAGATTTGAGAAGTTTGCTCAAAATCTGTATTATTAGTTTAATTTGGTTGGAGTATTTGTGTCGATGTTTAATGCAGCTCTAAAAAGCTGTTTCTCTCCCTGTGCATGTCTTCCAGGTTTTCTGTGACTACCACGGCCACTCTAGAAAGAAGAATGTGTTCCTGTATGGCTGCAGTGTTAAGGAGACTCTTTGGCAGTCTGGCTCTGCTGTTGACACAGTCGGATTGAAAGAGGACCCTGGGTATAGGGTAAGACACACACACACACACACACAGACAAGCCAGCCATAGAGGGTTCAGTTTAAAATGGTGTATGGTTCTCTCTTTTAGGGTTGGGCCGATAGACGATGCCATCGTCCATCGGCGATGGCTGACAGATGGTCAATGGTTGCCCCCTGGCAAAAAATTTTAAATATGCTTAGCACCGTCCTCAGAATTCTCTTCTCCCCACACTCAGACACACAAGAGGCTAGACCTCAGTTAAACACACCGGCTTGCCCTGCCTCTCTCTGTCTCCCCCCTCTCCCGTCTACTCCTACTACTATAATAATAATAACAATGTAGACTAGATAACGATGTGCAAATACAAATGACTGAGAAATATATATAAACACTGTGAATATTCTCAGTAATCCAGGTCATAGTTATCCAAGGAAAAATCATGATCAACTGGACTTGGTTGAAAATAGTTCAAGACAGTTCGCCTCTCAGCCAAGTGGCTTCCCAGTTCTGACTTACTGGCAGGGAGTCCCATCTATTTAATCTCTGTGGGATAGTTATCAAGGGGATGGATACCACTTGGATCATTAGTGCATCTGGGTATGGTAATGACAATCGTTATCGTCATTACAGTCACCTGAGGCCAAGTCTGAACAAGTCTTTCATGCCAAATAGAGTTGAATTTTGTAATGTGAGAAAAAAAAAAAATATTTGGAGAACAAAGTCATAATAGAACAGGTTGCTTGGAGTCATGTGCATGTGTTAGTATTTCCTGCAGTCTTATTTAGACTTGTAAAATGTTTGGACTGCAGTGTGGTCTTTCCTCTGACCCGTAGCTCTGTGTTGAGTTGTCTCTGCTTACAGACATCTTTACTCTGTCTGGGAGTCTCTCTGCTCCAGCTTGCTTCCCACTGAAGCAGCTGTGGACTGCACTTTATCAGAAGTGGTGAAGTTAACACTTGTGTGGATTTGTGGTGAGATTTCTGTGTGATCACAAGTGTTTTCAGTTAGCTTTGGTTTTTCATCTCCAATGAAGGGCAGCGCACTTGTCTCGTCCAGTACAGCTGTTGGAGATTAGGGTTTAAATGGCATCAAGATATTTATGTTAAATAATGTAATAATGATTATTATTACTATTATTTAATAATAGAATATAACTTTAGAGAGGCTAAACGGCTGGACTCAGAGAGACTACAACACCAGTTCTCTGCCAACAACTGTGCTTTTGTCTGGAGAGGCTTAAGACAGATCACCAACCAAAACCTACTCCCTAGCCCCCTACTTTATTAATGACTTTCACCTGGCCAACAAGCTGAACTAGTTCTACAGTTGTTTTGAGAGACAATGGGACAGTCCTGATACTATCCCCCGTGACTCCACCAATCAGCCCAAGGCCATAAGCTCCTCCTCCACCTCCTTAGAGGCGACCAGAACAAACTCTCCTACCCCTCTCTCCATCTGTGAGAGAGATGTCAACAGGCTATTCAGGAGGCAGAAAGCCAGCAAAGCAGCTGGGCCTGACTCTGTCTCCCCCATGGCCCCTTCATCCCCAGGCACTTGGACTCCTTAGGAACCCATGGACCCATCCATACTACTACGTTTTGGTTTTAAAACGGAGACTTTTGCTACGTTTGCACCTCCCTTGCAGACTAAAACAGCAAAAACAAAGACCTAAAATGGAGACGAGAGGATTTAGAAACAATGGCGCAGACACTGACGTTTGGCTCTCTGATTGGGTCTCATAAGTCATGCAAAGCAGAAACACAATGCTACTGACAGAAATTTTGATTTGGTATTTTTATTAAAATATTTTGTACCGTGCAAATAACGCCGCCACAGCCTTTTAACTCCCGTGGTACATTCAGAAACAGTCCCAGCTTATTATTGATCCATTAAAAAAATCTGGTGCGGTTCTTCATCTGCATTACTTTATTATTTCGCCAAATCTTCTGTAACTACGAAAGAGAGAGACCATCTGCTTCATGTTTACACCAGCACGTGCATGCCCAGTGTACGGGAACGGCCACTGAATGTGCATGCTAAAACGCTGGTGTGGATCCTGGATCCAGGATCCTGTTTGTGGATTTCAGCTCTGCTAAAGGACCATCATCCGGCTCTGCTGAAGGACAAGGTCTGCCAGCTGAGTGTGCCTGACTCCAACTGCAGGTGGATCACAGACTTCTTGTCCAACAGGAGGCACCTAGTGAAACTGGGAAAACATGTATCTGATTCCAGGACCATCAGAACTGGTTCCCCTCAAGGCTGCGTTCTTTCCCCCCTTTCTCTTCTCCCTGTACACCAACAGCTGCACCTCCAGTCACCAGTCTGTCAAGCTCCTGAAGTTTACGGATGACACCACCCTCATTGGGCTCATCTTTTGTGGGGATGAGTCTTCCCACAGGTAGGAGATTGACCGTCTGGTGAACTGTGCTGCCAGAACTACCTGGAGCTTAATGGTCTCAAGAAAGTGAAGAAGGTGGTGGATTTCAGGAAGAGCTCAGGCCCTCCCATCCCCATTATACGTGGGACACCACAGTCAACACTAGAGGAGTCCTTCCACGTCCTGGGAACCAACATCTCACAGGACATTAAGTGGGAGCTGAACGTTTTACAGCTCTCTCATCAAGAAAGCCCAACATAGAATGTACTTCTTGTGGCAGCCTGCCAAATAAAATGATTTTTCTACACCACCATCACTGAGTCCATCCTCATCTCCTCAATCAACATCTGGTGCACTGCTCACTGCCTCTCATACCCCACCCAAAAATCCTGCTCCCCGCTTCAACAGTACACACTGTTAATGGTTGCACAAAAAGCGATTTTATTGTGCACATGTAAATAATTAAATGCCATATTGCACAACTATTTGGCAATTTAGCGATTTCTGATTGTGATTCTAATTCTAATCCGCTATCTAACCAATAATTGATCTAGTCTTGTTTAACACAATTTAGATTTTTGTATGACTTGAAATGAATTATTAATTTATAGAACATAAATAGCACAGAGATATAGATCTCTATCAGCTATGCCCAGGGGTTGGTCTAATATTAACCAAATTTGGGATTAACCCTGTTTCACTGGTGTGATCTGAATGCAGAGATCTCTTTTACACCACACAAAGATCCACCCCGTTGTTCTGCATATGTTTTTTAATTTATAGGGGGCATCATGACTTCATTATACTGGAGGACAGTGAGTGAGCAGTTCATTTTGACACATATTATTACACAATTATATCAACATTATTAATAGATGTTATGAATTCATGGTTACACTCTTCAGCCGAAAGGTTGAGGAGTGAAGATCCTGAATATTCCAGCATCTTATTAAATGAACACATCAATCAACCTATATAGTTAAACAAATAATAACACTCACAACTATCGATATATTTAGAATTATAAGTTGACATAATTTCCATGGACGCATGTAGTATTTTTACTAATATTATCTTTGTACTGACTAGCATTGTTGATGTCGTTCTATCTGTCCATCTCTTTCTTTCTCTAGACCATTCCAAAGACCTTGGATCGTATTGCACCCGCCTTTTCTTTCAACAGCTGCAACTATTTGGTAATAATAACAGCAACAACAAAAAGTAGAATAATGATTATAATACTTTTAATTATCTAAATCATAATCACATATTCGTCAAAATTATTGTTTTTGATCATTACCATACTTTTGTTATCATTATAGTTTTTTGTCATATGGATTATCATTATTATGCTCCTCATCATTTCTGATTTGAACTTGTCAGGTGGAGAAGTCTCGTTCTGCCACAGCAAGGGTGGTTGTCTGGAGGGAAATGGGCGTGCTGAGAAGTTATACAATGGAGAGTACCTACAATGGTTGTGACCAGGGAATATACAAGGTAAGTGTGTGTGTGTGCGTGTGTACGTGTGTGTGTGCGTGTGTGTGTACGTGTGTGTGCACGGGCAGACTGGCAACAAAAAGCAGCCCAGGAATTTGCTGTCAATACATAATACACAAATTCAAACTGACAATGAATCATTACTTTAAAAAAACACAATCTGTTTATTTATTGTTAGTGTTAGACAAATAGATAAAACGATGACGATGTGAGACAATGTTTGTGTGTACAGAAAGCCACAAATCGAAGTTGACTGAATCTCGTTTAGTGAACTTGATTGCCCTCACATTAGCGTTTTGCCATTATGTTTTGACAACTAAAGCACATACTTCATCTCACTATTTCCATTGAGTAAAGGTTTATCGCACCATTTTATATCTGTTATTCATCCTTTTGTTATTTCTTTTATGCTACACACCTTATAAATCATTCATTTATTCAGGTATTAAACATTTAGCTATAAATAAATGTTCTCATTTATCACCTACCCTCCCATCAGCAACAGGAAACCAAAGGTTTGGTAAAAGATGCAAGAGCTCACCATTTCTCAAATCTTATTGCTGTCCACCTGCACAATCCTAGATTTCTTTTTAAGACTCTCGATCTGTTGGTGAACCCTGCCTCTCCCTGTGCCTCTGCTGATTGTGATGCAGATTGTGAGATATTTTTAATACACAAGGTAAGGTGGAATTATTAAGAGCTAGTATTAGCCCAAACCCTACTATGTTGAAGATGAAGCTTTCCTCTAGCCCACACCTGCTTTTTAATTGTAACAGCCCATTATCTACTGGTAGTGTCCCGGTCTACTTCAAGACGGCATGTGTACAACCTGTCCTAAAAAAACCTAGCCTTGACCCCAACATCCTTGATAACTACCGCCCAAACTCTAAACTGCCTTTTCTTTCAAAAACCCTTGAAAAGATAGTTTCAAAGCAGGTCCTTGCTGCAATGGAAAATAATTGTATCTTTGAAAAGTTTACACGGTGCCCCTGAAGCTGCAGTGATGCCCAGAGAAGAGGAAAGCGAGCTGGGATTTGAGCCATGTTGGTTGGTGAGCAGTAGCTGGATATAAGTCCCATACAGTCCTCTTCCCAGAGTCTTGCCCGACAGAGTTGCACATCTATCCGCTCGGAAAGGTTATCAGCCCTGGCAGATGAATGGTGGAGTGTGGTATGCTGTCGCTGAGCCAAAAACCCAGCAGTGTTCGAACTCACGCTGGGAAGTCTGTTGAAGTCCGATGTAATCCAGTTTGTTGTGTAGTGAGCAGACATTCACGAGCAGAATGGATGGTACAGCCATAACCATTAGGGTTAGCTTTCAGCCTAACTTGTATCCCTGCCCTCTTGCCACACTTCCTCTTCGTCTCACACCTCCTATGGTTTGTTTGTGTTTTGCCCAAGCGGGAAGCGAATGCGGAAGTCCCTGAAACCTGCATTCTATTGAAAATCCAGCAGGGGGCGACTCTTCTGGTTGCAAAAAGAAGTCCGGCTCCATTAGAAATAATGGGAAAAAGACCCTACTTCTCAGCTGAATAATTACCCCAGTAAACACTTTCCTGATGAGTTTATGGTCTCAGTCGCTAGTTTCAAGTCTTCTTCAATACAAAATGATTCATTTAGAAAATTATGGTCCCACTTTTTTTTAAAGCAGAGTATGTTTCAGATTATCTATGATTGACAAGTCGTTACTATAGCGACCTGTCAATCAGGCTAGAGCCGACTCATACCCGCGGCACTGTGTAAATTTAACCAGCGCCTTTGAAAAAGCTTATTAGGAGTTGGCTGTTCACTTTCTCTGGTGAGGACATTTAGTTTTAAGGCTGTTGTTCGCTAGACAAAGTTATCAGCCCTGTATAATGACAGTTAACGTGAGGTACAGTTGCACCTAGCTAAGCAAGCTAGCTAGCTCCGCACACTGCCGTTAGCTCCGCCGTGTCGTCACTTACGGGCACTTCCTGGTTGCAAAAATTTGACATGGCGACGGCCTATCGACCAAACTCGAGGCTTCAAAACGGCAGTCAACAAACCAACGGGTGACATTACGATGACTACGTCCATTTCTTATATACAGTCTATGGTTTTGCCCAACCTGCAGTGTCTGGAACACCTAAATGTAAATGCTCCATATTTTTAGCGCCTTTGTAGTGTTTGTGACCACGCAAAGTGCTTTTACATCACATTCACCATTCATACACTGAGCCTAAGTGCTCAAACAGAAACTAACATTCACACAATGGTGGAACAGCCACCAGGGGCAATTTGGGGTTCAGTATCTTGGCCAAGAACACTTCGACATGCAGCCTGGAGGAGCCGGGGATTGAACCGCTGATCTTTTGATTAAAAAGTGATCCGCTCTATCTCCTACAAGTGGACCTTGAGGTGAAACTGCTGTCAACTTTGGAGTTGGATGAATGGCTGGATCAACAACATCTAGGACCTGGAGACATCCTGTCTCTACATTTTAACAATGACCGCAGTCTTCCCATAACAACCAAGTAGTTTTAGTTGCATAAACTTAACCAGACATACTGTGAAGGTGGCAGATCTGAAAACAGCCAAATGAATCATTGTTTGATCTGTCGTGTGGGTGACTTTGGAAGGCACTGACAAATTACATATCTAGGTCGGCTGAGGCTTGGGGTAGAGCGGTCGCCCGCTAACCGGAAGGTCAGTGGTTTGATCCCAGGTTCCCCTATTCTTCATGTCGCAGTGTCATTAGGCTAGACACTCAACCTGAAGTAACAGGTGTTTTAAGTTCTCTGATTCAGTCCTCCTCAGCTCTACCAACTTTTATCTGAGAAAACAGTGGTACACTGCAAACTTAAAGCCAGGTTTCAGAATATCTCTATTCAGAAAACTGTTGGTGACATTACTGACGCAACATACTTGTTTCGATCACTCGACATTCAACTCATGGACATAATTCTACATGCATAAAGCCAGGGAAGAAAAGAGTAAATCAGGAGAGGGAACACTAAGATGTATTGATGTAACAAGTAATTGGAATCACTAGCACTGGCACATATGCACAAATGGTTAGGACACACACACACACACACACACACACACACACACACACACACACACACACACATTCATATACTGCCGCAAACTGATGTTTATTAACATGTTTATGTATGAATTGCATAATGCTTCCTCATGTGCAGACTGAATTTGTGCAAGACCATGAAAGGAAATACCTGTGAGGTTTGCTCGCAGGAGTGTTCCTTTTTGGTTCCACCAAACTCAACTCTACTCGACTGCAAAAACTTGTCATACATTGTTTGTTTGAGCTTGATGAATACCACCTCTTCAGGAGGAGGTGCACATTCATGACATTTGATCATTAGAATAATCAACAACCTTTAAGTGAAACTTATGTAATTTCTTACCTGGACCCTAATGTCCCATGTTTTTGTGTCTAAGTGACTAATGGGGACAACAATTTTTTCTGCAAGGTAAAATTACTGTATTTGTCAATTGAGTCTGGTGCCATTGACAAGAGTTTTATAGCAACAGTTTCTGGTAACAAAAAGGATCTTACTCTTTCACATGGTCTCTCTCTGTAGGGATCACCACCATAATGTTTTCTCTTATAATACCAATCTGAGCTTATCAGTGGCAAAAACAAGCACTTTAGTGGACATACTGTACATTGACGATGTACTATTGCCTAGAAGGATTACATTGTAGCCCTGTTTCGCTGCTGCCAATTTCAGTATTCTCTTATTTAGCTAAATTAGTTCCCAAAACATGGGGAAATATGATTTCCTTCAGTTATTTTTTAAGGCTACACATTCTACTTTATTTGCAAACACGTTTCATCCACAATACGTGCCAATTAAGAATTAATTTGTTCATACGTGTGGGCCTTATATTTTCACTCTTTGCTTGATAATGACCAGTGATGGCTTGTACTGACTCCATTAATAAAATTTACGTGCTTTTCATTTATATACTGAAAGAGTTTGATGGATTTAAACAGACTGTTTAGCTTTAAGTTGTTATTTGTTTTGTCTGGCTACTACTGTAGCTATATGATTTAAATCCATAATCTACTAAATATCATCATTATAATTATTATCCATAAAGTGTGCCCCCAGTGTCAATATAGATTTATGTGTTATGTTTATTTCAAACAAACCTGTCTTTTACATTGTAAAGCAGGAATAGCTGATTTTCTTACAAATAGGTGTTTGGAACAGGAACATTGATATCATGAAGAGATGGGGTAGCTGTTGTATGATATTAATCGGTAACTGAGAACTTGCTATCAGTCCAAGCATCGCAGTTCATAAATGTTCATATTCTTTAGTTGAGGGCACTTCAGTTCAGTTACTCCCAGTTACTAGACCTGTTCCTAGTCCCTGACTGTAGTTCCCTTTGTTCAGTATGTAACAGCAAGTTTATGCATCAGCATTTATGGAGGTCGACATTCTTATAAATAAAACTGTGAGTGTGAGTCAGTGCCTGTGTACATGAGCTTCCGTTTTTATTGTAAAAAAGTAAAATAATAATTGGACTGTGTGTGCAGGGCCTGCAGACAGGAACCAAGGAGCTACAGGAGATGGGCATGAAGTTCTGCCAAAGCTTGCTGTCTGTAACCAAAGACATGAAGGCTCTTTACATCTGGAGACTTATCAACCACATCGACCTGGACCACAATATCCTGGACCACAAGTCTCACAAGTAAGACACCATCCTCACAAGGCCTGCCATGTCCATTTTTGTCTAAATGCCATCAAAATGGTAGAGTGAGAACATTGGTATACTGGCCCTAAACTTCAACAAAGACAGAGTTGAAGGTTAGGAATTTAAGTTTGTGTTACAACTGAATTTAAAATCGACTGGATGATATAAACAGGATAAGTTAGAGTAAGGATTACACAATGCAAACAAAGCTTGCAGTCATATACTGAAAATGGAAATGTTTGCATCTAGCACTGACACAAGTGAAATACATTATAAATAATTACTGCATGTGTAAAAGTCACATACCTTATTGTAAAGAATAAATTTTTTCTGCCCATCTCTTGCAGTCTACAGGCAGATTTTGTAGCAGTGATTTTGAGTTTTGCAAGTCTGGAATTGTTGTGATGTGAGAATTTCAAATGGTATACTATGGGTTTTAAAATGCACATATAATAAATCATATTCCACTGCTTGACTCGAAGGTTCAACGATTTCAGCGATTCATCGATGCATTGTTTGAAGGTGTGTTCACACTGAAAGCGAATCCAGCGTTTTGGCCAGCTTGATTACATACAAGTCAATGCAAAGACCCGAATTCCTGCAAATTTGTTCTGGGCGGCACGAAAGAGGCGTTTGTCACGACATTTGCTGGTTCGTGCGAGTTGAGATTTTTCAACTTGGTCGAGAAACTCGCTTGATGTGATCTTGCGAAAGCCTATCAGCGGTGACATTGTCCAAACATCACCGGCGCTTCTGAGCGTTGTTTGGAGAGGACCTGGCGAGCGGTGTAACGATGGAGAGCTGCTAAAGAACGGGGAAGTGTATGGGGAGCAGCGCTGCAGCTTTTAGACAAATAAACACCAGTAGTCGTTCTGGATTATGCTCTGACAACTACGCTATTTACTTGCAGGAGGAGTTTAGAGTTAACTGCTTTAATTAATCGCTGAGTTCAGAAACTGTGTGTCTGTAACTTTATTCCAGCTATCGTTGTACTTTACTGTGAACAGGTTAGCATAGCATAGCCCAGCTTGATCCGAACTCCATTCAGAAAACAAACATTTTAAAAGTTGTTGTCCTGTTGACTTGCTGACAGACCTGACAAAGCATTAATTCATATGTCTTGTATGTATATCTTATATGTTTTGTAGTTATTTCAGCATCAGTTTGATCCATTTATTGCAATTAAATCACAGCAAAAGGTTTACTTTGGGTTCATACAGCTGTAGTATTCGCGGGTTGTGTTTATTCGCTTATCAAGTTCTGTGTGTGTGAACACTCAAAATGTCCAGCGGTCAAACTCGCGCGAGTAAAGCGAGGCGAATATTAACTTCGCTTTCAGTGTGAACACACCTTAAGAAGTACTTTTACTTGGCGGTGGCGTTGGTGGATGGACTGTAACATTACCGAGTTATTGTTTTCTTTTAGCTTGAAATAATCCCATACTTTGGACACTTTCTTCTTCGTCCCTCACTATTTTCTCCCTCTTCCTCCACTTTGCAAACAGCGCCATCATAATCACGTCGTGTTCACACAGCGTAAGCGCGGCAGTATTAAATGTGTGTGCACAGTGTGCTATATAGTTCTATGGATTAAACGAAGCCTCGATGCAAAGAATTTGTCAATGCATTTTAGTAATCTACTTAATCGATTAATTGTTTCAGCCCTACACATAGCCAGCTGTGACCAGGGTTTAGAAATTAGTAAAGTCCAGATAATATTTTTGTAATAGAGCTTATTTATGGTAATTCATACCAAAATTATACCTAAACACAACCAAATTTCTTCACTATGGTCACACAAACCAATGATCTATAAGGAAATACATACAAAGAAACCTGTTTGCAAAACAGACTTGCTCTCCTCTTCTGTGTGTGTGTGCGTTGCGCTGTGAAGGCTTAAACCACACAGTGCACACACAAACTACAGGCTGATCATAGTCTCTCTCTCCACTGCTTTGCTCACTAAAATAGCATAAAATAAGAGATACAGACACACAAGTTAAGATCAGGTATTGCAAACAGGGAGATCTTGGTATACTAAACATGCATTAAGCTAAATGTTTTCTGAAATGTAGCCTACAACTGTCATCACAGGATCATGCTGTTGGAATGACATGTGCAGACTACATAATGGGCACTATTGTTACTATATGACAGCATAAAATACAGCAGGTTAGTACTGAATGCAGAGGATGCTCTGGTTGATATTACAGCCTAATAATTTGATGTTCCACAGCTGAGGGGCCCAGGCAGCAAAGGCCTCGTCACCTTTAAGCTGCGTTTCGACCAAAGGAACTATATATACAAGGAACTTTTGGAGGAAATCACTGCATTTCCACCGAAGGGACCAGGGTCTAAATTTAGTTCTAGGGTCTTCATTTTCCCCCCCAAAAAGTCCCCGCTCGAGGGGGTAGTACTTTCCAAAAGTACCGGTACTTTGTGGGGGCGGGTCTTGCCTTGTAGTGAAATTCTGAATGGGCGAGTAGAGGCTACTGGCTTTAACTGGAGAATGTCGGCTGTTTTTCTACGACTGCTCCTCTCTTTTGTAGACTTTGAACGGCGTATAGGTCAGCTGGTTAATTTGCCTAATCTTCGCAGGTCTTTAGACCACAGTGGAAACGCACACAACAGTGGGCTGAAGGGACCTTTTAGTTCCTTGAAAAGAGATCTGGGGACTTAAAAGTTTTTAAAGTTTGGTTGAAACACGGTTTTGGTGAAAGGTCCAGATTTAGGACCCACCAGTAGGGCCAGAGGATCAGGCTCATAGGGAGTTAGCAGATGTCAGATTTAGGCAGGAGCCTTACAATGCCCAATGACCTGATCTCTGTTAAATGTCTCAGTTGGACAAAGCAGGACAGCACCACTTTACCCGAGTGTCAAAAGACAACTGTGAGTCAAACTAACACCTAGTTTAGTTACAGGCTTCACAAGAGATTGTTAATGGTGCTAGTGCTGGAGGGGTCATTATAACTAGTATATTGGTATCACATACCCTCTACAACAAAATAATAGTAAGTAGGGTTGTTTTAATAAGAGTGTTTTTCCATCTTGTGAAATCTTTTTTTTTTTTTTGGCCCTTGAAGTAGAGAGTGCAGCAATGTTCTGATGGAAGAATCCTTTTCCCACTTCTACAGTGTGTGTGTGTGTGTGTGTGTGTTTGCATGTAGCACAAGACATGAGATACGAACGCTTGCATTTGAGAGCACACACACACAGGCACTTGTTGTTTCAGATATGCTGTGCGGTGGATTCCTTACTGCAGTGTTTGATGTGTTGATCTGACATGCAGCTGAATGGCTTCTATTGATTTTCAGACACCCGTTAAGTCTTCCTTATGAGCTGACAGCACAAGGTGTGGGGAGGTCTTCTCACCTGAAAACACACATCTGTATTGTATTTGTTGTTCAATTACATTTAATTTTTTCACTTGACTCTAATCTTATTAGTCTTTCTTTCATCCCCTTCTTCTTCTCCCTTTCTTTTTTCCTGTGTTCCTTTGATCCACTCTTGACACATTACCACTTCTCTGGTTTATTCTCATCTTCCTTCCTCTTGCCCGTCTGCCTTCTATCAACACATTACTTGGTCTAGGTGTGCTGCATGCTTGTCAGAACAGCTAAGCAATATTATTCATAAAATGTTGTCTGCCATTTAGCTGTGAATAAAAAAAGATAAGTGATTTTTTGTCATTTAAAGAAAACGACATGCTACACATTTATTGCATGTGACATCTATGTGTGACTATCCACCTCTCTCTGAATTACTCATAAGAACACTGCTAAGAATTGAAAAGTGAAGTGTAGGACCAATGACTGAATAGATTTCTTATTTAAGAATATTCTCAGATAAATTCACATTGAATTGAGGAGGAGTTTACATTCTAACGGACATTTGACAATAAAGAATTTTCAAGAGAATACATTATGATATACACCAGGGGTCGGCAAATAAGTCTGGCATCTGAAAATAATTTTTCAAGCTGTTACATGGCAGGCAGAACAGTAAAATTATTTCAAATTTGGATATTCGTGTGTACATTTAGCTCAGTCGGTAGTGTGCGTGACTCCCGACGGGAGGGTGTTATGACCGATCCCAACATACTGCAGATTTTTCCCCCCTTGTTAAACAAATTGTTTGTAAGGACACTTTTGCACATGCTCACAAAAAAGCTGCAGTGTGTGTTTGCTTCCCGGCATTTGATCCGCATTCATAAGCCTATGGACGCTTATTTCCCCGTGGGGCGCCTATTGCCGACCACTGATACACACATTGGAAATGAAAGATAAAAAAGTTGAACTTTATATGAGCGCCATTAATTGCGATAACTATGCCTGTGAAGCCGGCTGTTTGCATGAATTGTGTTTGCTTCTGTCGGGTTACGGGGGGTGTTGTTGGGAAGTTGATGAAATGTGTGACAATGAGTGAAGTGCCATAGGCCATAGTGTTTCCTTTAGGATTTTTTTCAGCAGCAGGGACAGGACAGCCGCCCCCCCGGCCCCTCCCTGAAGAAATAGTCACACTTCATACAACAAATAAACTTCAGTGTTTCCCCTAGGATGGAGTTATAGCAGCGGAGGTGAAGCAAAATTAGATGAATGTTTTGGTGTTGGGTGCAGTGGTTAGCACTGTCGCCTCACAGCAAGAAGGTCGTGGGTTTCCCCGGCCTTTCTGTGTGGAGTTTGCACATTCTCCCTGTGTCTCCCACCATCCAAAGACATGCAGACTAGGTTGATTGGTGACCCTAAATTGTCCTTAGGTGTGAGTGTGAGCGTGAGTGGTTGTTTGTCTATGTGTGGCCCTGCGATGGACTGGCGACCTGTCCAGGGTGTACCCCGCCGTGCGCCCAATGTCAGCTGGGATTGGCTCCAGCCCCCCCGCCACCCTGTACGCAGGATAAGCGGATGATGATGGATGGATGGATGGTTTTGGTGTTGGTCGGGGGGTTTGGGGGTGCTCCGCCAAGAAGATTTTATGTTTTCCAATGAAAAATATGTAATT